TTGTTTGATCATCTGGTAAGAGATCCGATGGAGAACCCCCTAGTAAACCTGACCTTAACGCTGCACAACGCGCATTCCTCAAGGGTCTTTTGTGTATGTCGAATTCATTGGTAGCTAAGGAAAACACATTGTGTAAGCTTTTGACATGCAATTCGTTAAAATTCACAAGCACTTGATAATGCCTCTGGCTTACAACTTCCATTGAAATCAAGGCCTTACGTGATATCTGGTTGTGCCCACAAATGAGTGTCTGTTTTCTTGGCCTGGTGGGTGGGGAAAAGAACAGCGTGTCCGCGCGGAGCGAAGCCTTTCGCTTGGGCAAGCTGGTCTTAGTGGTGTTCTGCAGGGCTAGGGCCGTTAGTTTCCTCAATGCAGGTAAACAATTTCCTGCAATATTTGAGATACCGTCGCTATTGTTTACGGAGGACATTGGAGCAATGGTTTTATTCGGGTAAAAAGGCTGATGCTTACCAGGCCCCGCAGGATGATCCTGGTGGGGACACAAAATATGAGAAAAATTGCCGGCAAATTTAAGTTCACACCAATGGAATCACCGCAGCATTCGTAGTATAAAATGTAAATCCACCGTAAGGCAAGTTCTGTTCGATAACGCACATGTGTATCCGTTTACACACGTATAGATATCCGCTTAGTGATTTCATGTGGGCTGAAGATCACAATAGTCATCTGTGTCCTGTTGTCCCAAAGTGAACAGAGATTAAATCAGATAATCCAGATGTTACAATGCAACGTCGAGTCCTTTTTTATAAACGAGTAGCGTGGGCGCAGAAATGACAAAGGTCGTAAGGGCGTTCCAGAGTTGAGCTTCAAAGAGAAAAATAAATCCGGCATCATTCCAGTCGACTTTTTTGAGTAGCCAGTTTCAGCTGGTGACTCCACAATTTTGTGTTTCGGCTAAGTTTCAGGTGGCGGCTAGCGTGACCAGGAATTTTCAAGATCTGGCACACCAGAATGAAGTCGCCCCCTAGATGGCGATATATTCTTCTGTGTACTCCTAGTTTTCAATCGCAGTTGGTATGGCAGGTAGAACAATCTCTTCACCTTTTAGTTGTCCTTCGCTGTGCGGTATCCAGTGCAACCACATCGCGTTTTAGCCAGGGTTGCCATGCCTGAATCGCGTGCCTCACATGGGGTCGTACATACGTGTTGAGCATTTGGGGGAAGATGGAGGGGTCGTACCGTCCGAACGCTCTCCTCAAGATACCGACAAGTTGGTTAGCGGTGTTGGACATGTTCTAAGACTGTGACGAACAGCCGAGGTCGTCTTGCATCATCACCGCAAGTTCCCGCTCCTGTGAGGCGGTTTTCAGTATGTGGTCTCCAAGCTTATATGCGTCAGTGGGCTTGTGGCGTACATGTACAGTCCTGCACTTGTGCGCGGTAAACGGAAGTAGATTTGCCTTTGATCATGTGTAGGCACGGTCTATATCTTCTTGCAGCATATCGTGATCGTCCTGAAAACCGATCGCCCGCCATGGCTTGATGTCAGATGCAAAGAGCAGGAAATCCTACTTGATGACACGCGCGAGGTCGTTGTTGAAGACCAGGAACAGACGCGGTCCTATCACCGATCCCAGTGGGACCGAGTCTAAGTCGATAGGATCAGAAAATGAACCCCTAACCCAAACCTGAAGCCGCCGCTGAAAGAGGAAGTTTCCGATCCATCCAAGGACCGGGTCCTCAATTCCGTACAAATGCAACGTTTGCAGGAGGATTCCGTGATTTAAGCGGTCGAAGACCTAAGAAAGTCGTAGATAACCTCCTTGCCTGTCTCACTGTAGACTATTTCGGTCCAACTGCCACGCACAATCAGAGGATTAGTAGTACATGAGTGATGATGACGGAATCCGTGTTGCTTCTGTGCTATGATGTTAGACTTTTCAAAGTAGCTCGATAGCTCCTCAGCTGTGAGCGACTCCATCGTCTTTGAGAGGACCGGGAGGAGAATCACTGGGCGATAGTTGAGGGGCTCCGAACTGCTACCATCCTTGAAAATTTGGTTGGTGATACCCAGTTCCACATGTTGGGGACTTGCTGTTCATCCAAATATCTTGGGGAAAATCAAGCTAATGGCCTAGCTGTCCTCGCAGCTGCGACCTGAAGTGCTTTTTGGCGAATGTTGTCAGCACCGAGGGGAACTATGGGTGTGCAACGATGTCCGATTCCTCAAAACGGTCGCTGAACTAAAAGTAACGTGTGTGAATATTGGCGTCTGGGGGCACGAGACTGGTGTGATATATACTGGTGGCGTCTCGAAATATTGAAGCATATTGCAGCCGTGGAACTTTGGCTGCATCCTCGGCAGTTTGAGCAGATCCATCCGCTGGGAACACCACGCTATACATTCCGAAGGCTATTCACATATTTGTGCAGAAGCTTGTTGCCAGCGTAAAACCTTTCTGCTAGGCTCTGATGGTGTATTAACTTGTCTTCATTTACAAGTGTGTGCGGCACAATAGCGGAGGTGTTTTCCCACCTCTAGCTGATGTATATAATGAATGAATGTGTGAACGAACGAAAGTGTGATTGCGATGCAAAACAAGGTAGCTCCAGTTGTCAGGGTTAGGGATGGCCCTATGCACATGCCACGCTGTGCCATGCGTTTTCGGATCCTGCTCTGAATGATTAATGGTGTTCTCGTAGAACAAGATGGATCCGTTTTCAGATGCGGTCTTAATCAGGTCGCTTAACTTGCCAGCAAACCGTCCATGCAGTGTCCATGGATCAGTTGTCCGAACAATCCCAAATGACATTGTCAACAAGTTCTGTGAGTGTACCTCATCGTGTGCTTGTACGAAACAAACCACTATGTTCTTATGGATACTCCGCGTAACACACATAGTCGTAAAGTATTGTTATGTGATCACACAGCCCCAGAGGACTGTCCACCTTTGGTTTCTCAATCATGAGCGCTTCTTTCGTGAGCACTAAATCAAGCACAGATGATTTCGTACCGGCTCTGAATCGGGTAGGTAAACTGACATGGCTGAGGAGCGGAATGCTTGCAATAAGCACTTGCAAGTCTGCTTTGACTTGTTCTTTGGGAGAAGCCGGAACTTCCAAATCGTGAACATTGAAATCACCGGAGATGAGAACATGGGTGCATCGTTGTCCGAAGTACTTGCCTCAGTACTAATGTCAGGCAGGAGTCTATCTCTAGGGTGGACATTGGAGGCGATAAACGACTGTTAAATGGCGAGTGTCTCAGTCGTAGACTTCACCAGAGCGAGTCACTGAGCAGCGTTTCTGGATCGTCCACCGGTTCGCACTGCAGGTCCTTACGTTAGTATAAAATTCCCCCACCGACCTTACAG